TATTTACTTCAGATTAAAACATTATATTTGAATTTTATGAAAAGGAAACAAAACTAAAGATTAACTGAAACATCTTAAATACCTAAAAATAAATTTTATTTAGTTATGCAAAAAATTGGTTTCAAATCTTATATTTTATTTTAAGTTAGCTCATTATCCCATTTCTTTAAACATCAAAATTAAGTTAAATGTTTCATAAAAGTTTTAATTACAAAATGTTATCCAGAATTATATTATAAATCAAGATATTCCCAATTTTTGCCATATCTATACATCACTTAAATATTACTACAACCTTTAATGGATGAAAATTATAATACTGAGTTTTGCAACCATATGTTAATATATTTTTCACATACAGATATATACTTTAAATATTAAGAATATAACTGCCTTGCAGTGTGTTACAAACTGTTTTTTGTAATAGTTGTAAAAACTATAGTTTGTTGCTTTGTAACATAAATAAATAAATATATATATATATATATAATGTCACTTTGTAAACGTGAGTTTGGTCACCTTGTTTTTTTTACTGTAGTCTCTAGCTTGTCAAAATCATTATTTTTAATTTTTATGTAAGCCAAGTCTAGTGCACTTATAAACTTCCTCAAATGAAAACTTGTAGAGATGTAGTGAAAACTATATATATGTAAGCTAGTACAGAATTTGGATATCAAGTAGTAAATTTATGTAGGAATGACATTCAACTAAAGTTTTGATTAATGATGAGAGAAGGTGTCCTTAAAAGGTACATCAATTGTTACAATTCAGATATTAATCAAATAATTTTAAAAGCTAATGCATACCAATGACGTATGAGATAAGGTGTGCTCTATGTATTTATATTTTATTAGTACAGCCAGGATGGTATTCTAGCTGTTGACTGTTACACTACTTGCTGGTTCTCTACTTTAATGATGTTTTTCTGGCTAAACTGAAGGTCTTAATAGCTTTTGAAAACCTTGAAAATCTAAGTTAGGTGTTTATAAAAGTCTCTTAAGAGAGATTTTGAGACTATGATGAGCACTACATAATATGCGAAGGCCATTTTCTTTCTGGCCCATCCCTACAGATACATACTAAGCACTACTGCGCTTAGTGATAACTTAATGAGATGTTTCGTCAACAGCCAATAACTGTCTTGCATTGAATTGTAATCTTGTTGTCTTGTAACAAATAAAACTTGTAAGTCCAGTGCTTGAGAATGTAGAGATTTAAGATAAGATATTCCCTGAAAATTGGTTAGAGCATATAAATGTTGTGAATTATAGTTAATCAAAGAGTTACAAAGTATTATTAACTATATCTAGTAATAATATACAAAGTTGTGTTTTTTGCTTATATTTTTTTTCCCCAAAATTCTTTGGTCAAGGTTATTTTGATGAAGACTGAAAGTAAGTGATGTTTTTTGTAAAAGTCTGTAACTGGCATTTACAACTTGTGAGTATATTTGTATGAAAGTTGTTTTCTTAAGTCTCCTAATATTAATGTTTTGATTATTCTTGGTGTAAAGTAAATTAGTTGTTACAAACTTACCTACTGATCCATTCTCAATACAGCTATAAATAGCCAGCAGTTTAATGTCCTAAACAAACTTAAACTTACTATGCCACTATCAATATCATTAGTGTAAGTAATAAAAGGCAAAAGCCCTCAGCACTGTCACTCCAAAACACTCCACTAATAACAAGAGTTCAGTTTTACTGGACTCCATTAACAACAAACTTTTGCTTTCTTCCATCCAAACACCATACAATCCAATTACTTAGTCTTCTCTCAACCCTACCAATGTGATTTTTCTAGCAAATGTTTTGTGTGCACCTTACCAAAAGCTTATTGACAATCTAAGTACACCAAGTCCAAATCCATTCAATCATCCAGATAACAAGTGACATCCTTACAAAAAAAATTAATTAATAAGGCAAGATTTCCCTTTGGTGAATCGGGGAACAGAAAGTTTGTGTTATAGGGATAGATTAAAATCTTGTTAATTCATTTTCTCTTGAGAAATGAAAGGTAAGATGTGATTCTATTGAAGTTTGCAAGATTACATGGGGTATCAATAGGATAAAGGCCCCTGATTTCTTTGTGCTATATTTTGAAGACAGTCAGATCTGAAGACTAACACTTAAGTTTTATAAAAGGCAGGCAAAGCTCCAGTTATGACACTTTTATTTTTATAAAAGAATAAATGATTTATGGATTGAGTTGGCAATGGTAGTAATAGAGGTCAGCACTTTACAAAACTTTAAAAGGAAAATAAATAATCTCCTGAAAAATAAAGGTTGAGTTTATGTATTTACTATCTATTAAGGATGGGTGTGCAGGAAGAAAACTGAAGGATCATATACTTTCTTAATTTTCATCCACATGTTAAGATATAAAAAATTAGGCCTCTTTTAAAACTGTGATTGTGTTATAACAAACTAAATGGATTTGTTGGACTCTAAAAAAATGGTGAAATTGTGAAACCACATTTAAGAACAACTGTGTAATTAAATGCACATACAGTTGTTAGCAAATTATGAAAATACCTTTGAGAATTGGTAATTAATATATATGACAGGTTTCCTCTTATGCTTTTAATACATATCAATATAATACATATTTTTACTGTTTGAGCTTAGCTTTGATTATGTCACAAAGCTTTTACTCATGGCAAGAAGGCTACACTACAACTCTCTTCTGGCGAGGCTGCTTGAATGATTAGATATTGTTAAGAAGTGCAACAAAAACAAATCCAAGGACAAATTCTCTGTTACTAGGAAAGGTGTTTAAAAAAATCCGAAATGAACTACTTATGTTACAAAAGGACATAACATTAAGAGCAGCATAGTACCATTGGTCCTTCAAACTGTCCTCATAAGCTCTCTACTGGGCAAAAGTACAAATTTAAATGTAATCTTTCTTTTTTTGGGGATATCATCTTTTCCCTAGCTCTTAAACTCTTGTAAATCACTGACATCCACTATCACCAACACCCTGTCAAAAAAAGTCTACTGGAATAGAAATTACAATGACTCACCACCAGACAAATCACTTCAGATGGTGAAAAAAATAAAACTAACGTATCTTAATTTTTCTGCAAATCTGTGAATCATTTGTCAATTTATGAAAATCTAGTGAAGTCTTTAGAGTGCACTGTTCAGGCCTTACAATGTCATAATACAGCAATAAACATGAAAATCAAACCTTTGGCACACCTCCAGCTCGAATGTCATTAACCTGAGATAATTCCAGAACTTGGCCATCCTAAGTTGAGAGAGAGAGAAAAAAAATGTATTAGTACGATTCTCAGCATATTTTAAATTGTATTAAACAACCCAGCAGAAATATAGATTCCTTTGTTGAAGTTCATGTATTATTCCAAAACTGCACCAATAATATGTTTGTATACATTAATATTAACTTCTGATTACTGCAAGCTACTCATCAAAAACAAAAAATAATCTGGTAATGATTTACTTTTCTTATATTACTTATCCATATGGATTAAAATGTTTCATCATTTGGGTATCCTTGCTGTTAATATTTTCAGTTGTGAATCCAATAATATCATACAAAGTTCGACCAGTTTAAGAGATTCAGGTTAGTCATATATTAATATAATAAGCTAATAATGCAAAATAACCACTATAATAAGAATAAAAAATAATAAAAACAAATATATTAAACATCCTAAAGAACACTGCTAATGAAAGTAACAAAGAAAGAACAGAGGTTACCTGACTTGTGGAACACAAACACTAGTTCTTTATTTTAAGTACTGTCTTATATCCTAGCTATATACTGCCTTTCAAAATATACTGGAGAAACCAGATTATTAGGATTAGGACTTATTTCTTAACTATCTGCAACTTGTATATGTTTTTCATTTTTTAATCTTTTAAACCTAAGTCAGGCTAGATCAGTACATTTTGTCTAAATAATATTAAAATTATTATAAAGTTCTAAATTATTAAACTATAAAAAAGAAACACAATTAGAAGTGTAGAAATGGATAAACTACAAAACACTGACTGATTTATTCTAAATTTTTCTTACAATGTATCTTTTGGGGGGGACTAAAAGTTTGTAGAGCCAATTAAAATCAAAGGGCTCAATATTGCATATCAGTTATACTTTCTAATAAACACAAGTTACCTATATAGTTTAGAAATAAAATTAACCCAATAAAGAATTTAGCTAATTTAATATTTCATTATTATCAGTTGTAGATGTAAGTTTTTGAATGTCCTAAGCCAAGAATATTTTGCTCTCAGCCACAGCTTAACCTTAACAATGTTGCTAAAGTAAAGGGATATGCTAATTGATAATAAAACAAAATAAAACTATATTTCTGATTGTTTTGTGTAACATTATGGTAGTATGTATGGGGAGTATAGGGACTCAAGTTGTTGACTACTAAGGTTTCCATGCCAGCTCTGTTCATAGGTGGTCGAACCTTTCAGGAGTTGCAACTGTGTATTAGGTGGTGTCTTGTTATTCTTGTGTATCTTACATGATGAGACTGAGTAACATCAGATGGGCACGTGAGAACAAAAAAGTATTAATTTTATATATTTCACAAATGGACCTTTCACGAGTCGTTCCACAGGCCCTTGAGACTGCAGCCTCATATATATATATATATATATATATATATAATGAAATATCACTTATTTAAATGCATTTGTAATGAAGTAATATTTTTGGGTTATCAAGACATGTGGATAGTTCAATCAGTCACTTTAAAAAATATGGACAGGCTTGTAATACCATGTTATCAATTGATAAATGTAAAAGTGAAAAAGTTGTAATGGTGGGCATGCAACTGGTAAATAAAACTAACTGTATATAGAGCGATTTATTATTTAGTTCAATAGATAGTTCAATCAGTCACTTTACAAAATATGGACAGGCTTGTAATAACATGTTATCAATTGATAAATGTAAGGATGAAAAAGTTGTAATGGTGGGCATGCAACTGGTAAATAAAACTAACTGTATGTATAGCAATTTATTATTTCATATCATCAATAATAATCAAAGAAGCATATTACGTCATTATCTTTATATAAGTCATCGTTTTGTTGAAACAAATGACTTACTTATAAAAAACAAAATATAGAGTACATGTATTGCCTTCTCATATAAGCAAACATCACATTTTATTGAAGCTGATATTTGTAAGCATCTACATGTTGGAGCACTGTGTCTCAACATAACATAGTTTATATGTACATCATTACTATTAAGGTCGTTCCACAAAATCTTATTGTAAACTGATATATGTTCTGAATGCAGATATTTTAAGGTCATTAATTATAGCTCATTTCCTGTTCTGATGTACCCCTACTTGACTCTAATGGAGTCAAGTACAGATTATTAAATCACACAGAAATAGAAAATGCATATTTGTTGTATGAAATAGCTGCTCGGAGTTGAAATGTGAATATAAGGATTATAGATTAAATATCTTGTTGAGAAAATTTGTCTTGATAAAAAATCATCCTTATTGTGAATAATCCAGTTTGTAAATACCTGGACTAATGAGGGTTCACTGTGCATTAATTGTACTTACTTAATGAGTACAATGCATTGATTTGTCTCTTGGTACCCTAACTTTATAGTATCAAAACACTACCTATATTATTCTCCTATAGTATATTTTTCCTGTTGTTAAAATTTTTATAAGTTTTATTTTTTAACATTCTAAATCTAGTTGAGGTTGTGTTAAATTCAATTGATGTTACTTTCTGTAGCTTTATTAGTCAAGAAATGTATTTAATGTTTCATGGGATAAGTTATATATTGTTACGACAGCTGTAGTCATGTGACGCTGGTAACACGTCATGAGTTTCTAGAAGGATCATTACTTTTCCTGGAAACTCTAGTCTTTTCCAGGTGCCCTCTATTTTAGTATATAAGCCGGCAAATAAAGTGGAAAGAAGAAATGACGGCATAGATAATAGCAGATAGGGAGATATAAAGACAGATAATCAAGTCAAGTCATAAGTATAGTGCGTGAATCCTTGTGAATTATAGCGTGTGTTTAAGTTAAAGTGACTGTGGAAATTAAGTGTATTGCAAAGTTGTATTCAGAAAGAATAAACTAGTTTTATTTAAGAAAGGACTTGTATCGCTGAAGTTCTTCGGAAAGAATTTTTATGGGAAATTAACAAACGAACAGAGACGCAATATATATATATATATATAAAACATACAGGCAACAATGGAATGTTTGGTCCTTTGAGCCTATCTATGCATACCCATCTCTGAGAAAAAAGTAAAATTTAAGCCTATCTTTTATTTTTCTTGTGAAGGATAGCTCATTCCATATGCAAATAATCCTGTTAATAAAACTGTCTCAATCAAAATCTAGCTTTATGCCCTTTCAGATCTTAAACTTAATTGTATCCTCTCATCCTATTCTATTTAGATTACTGCACAGTTATCAGAGGTCTTTATCTGATCAATCTCTCAGAAAATATTAACTTTGAACAAGGACTCTCTTCTTAAACTATCTCCATAAAATAACCCTGACATACCCAGAACCATTCTACTAGCTCTTCTCCAAAATGTGTGCCACCCAGTGGTACAGCGGTATGTCTGCGGACTTACAACGCTAGAAACCGGGTTTCAATACCAATGGTGGGCAGAGCACAGATAGCCCTTTGTGTAGCTTTGTGCTTAATAACAAACAACAACCAAAATGTGTCCAATTTAAAAAAAAAAAAATTTAGATTCTCAGTATTTTAACTATTTAATTTCAGCAGCAAAAGATAATACAGAAAACTTATTTCCACTAATTTAACAATTTTTGTGATTTTAGATTAAACAGGTATGTGGTATGCAGGCATGCAAATGTTTTTCCTGCCTTCTTTTTAATATAAAAAAATTGAAAAATTTCTGCACATATTTTGTATGTATCAGTCAGTCAAGGGAGCCACTAAATTTCTTTCACCTTAGTTACTCACAACACTATGGCATTCAGCTAGGGTGTTACATACACTTTCTCATGGAAAGGACTGCTGTAATGTCAAACATATACTATATAGATTAATACAATGATATTTTATATTGGCAAGTCAGGTGATACCCTAGGGATAAAACATCCTTTGTTTTGTAGAAAGAGAATCCATCAGTCATAGATGGCATGTGAATCTTGAGAAGAATGGTATTGTTCTTTTTCATATATGATGGCATGTTTTCTCAGCCTCAAACATGATCATAATTAAATTTGGACAGAAATATATACATATTTCAACACACACACACACACACACACACACATATATATATATATATACACACTCAGATAATAAAAATGTGTTTAGATCAAGGATTTAGAATTCTGACGATTTAGAATTTCCCATGTACTCAATGGCATTGGAAGATAAAGGATTATGGATCAACTTGGGTGTCAGGACCATCTAGAAAGAGTCTTACAACAAGTCATATCTCAGTTGTGGTAAACAAAGTTCTGGGTTTTGCAACAGGTAAGAATGCACGAATATAAAAGTTAGCCAGAACAATCATACACATGTCCCAGGCAATAATACAAAACATAATCAGTAAGGATCTTTATCTGGAAAAGTTACATGAGTTGTGTACACAAGTTGCTAGCTTTTATGATATATCAGTTCAAACATTGCATACTTTAAGAAATTGGAGAATGAAACAAGTATTCATATTATTCCATATGAAAATATACCATTCAAGTCACCAGCAGCATCTTTGGATTTCTGTGTGATTAGACTGATGAAATGGACACTGTGAGATTTTTGTCCCTGTATACTAGATAGATTATGGAAAGCATGCAACTTGTTTTAATACAACATATTCAACCTTTGTACATACTACCTGTATGGATTAGTGTTCACTATAAAGATGGAGATGCATCATTTAAGTGGCTGATAAATTTTAAACAACTGGAAAGAATCATAGCTCGTTGAATGACAAGTTACAAGACTAATTTGAATGGATATATAACATTATGCATGACAAGCAACAATAAAATGTAATTGAATTTTTCACCAGTTGGCAAACACATGTTGATTTGTAGGAAGTGCCGATCCAGAGTATATTTATTTTAGCTGAGTTTGTATAAGGTATTACAGATGGTGAAGATGCACATTTCACAATGTTATCCTCATTCTTTGTCTCACTGAAACTGTGATACAGTTTCTTGCAAAATATGTAAACCTTGGCCCAACTTACTAGGATGACTCCTCACAATATATCACTACAACACTCAGGACAACAGAAATTTACAGTGACCTATGCAGGTAATTTTTGATCCTTACATACTGCAAACATTCTACAGTGTCTACAGAAATATGTAGTGCTAAATTTCAGAAAAAGCAAACAAAAAACACTGTACCTGATTCTTGATGATTGGATGGGGGGAAATTTTGGGCATATAACAATTTAAACATGTCAGTCAAATATAATGTAACTAAGGCAATCTTACAATTGATTAAAATGGTTCTACCTTTACATTAAAAAATTATCCAAATTAGGTTCCAGATCTGAGATCTGGAAATATCCAGCAGAAATTAAGCACCAAATTTATGTGGAGTAGTTGAGGGCCATATTATCTGAAGGAATATAGGCAAAAGGGGTCATATAACAGAAACAAGTTTATGATTAAAGGGTAAAGGAGAGACAGTTCAAATGTAGTGAGTAGATCTGGCTACTGTTAAGCAGTCACTGGTCATGTAGTATAAGGAAACATGCGAGATACATAGATAAGCTAAGACTGTATTTCACTGGTGAAGCTCTAGTGCAATGGCTGGACTGGGGCTCTGAAAAAATATTAAAATGAAGAATGAGACAGAAATGATAGCAATATTATCAATAATTACCACCTAGATGCTATAGAGGAAGACACCACAAATACTTTCCTGGCAATATACAATGAGATAAAGAAAGAAGGATTGAGCAGATACTGGTTAGAAAAAATACCAGAAGCTAGAATAGCTGTACCTTCTACAGTCTGGATGGCTATGAAAGTGTGTCAGGCTGTGAATTAAAATATCCAAGTGCTGCTGAACACTCTCCAATTTTCAGCTATGATTATATTATAAAAATGACAGTCAGTTCCACTATTCAATTTGAAGAGCTGGACAAAGCACAGTTATGTATATAGCTCACTGAAAAATCTTTTGTGGTGGCAACTGCTGTTGGCTGGCTACTTTCCATGTGGCTAGTAGTTCAAAATTACAGACAATTATTTTTTGAATTTTGGGATCTCTGAACTAGCCATTGTACATAAGTTTCTGTTCAGGTTAAGAATTACAACTTTTTTATTTACATGATTCAGACACAGTGTACCACATAACATTTATTCATGTTTCATTTTCTTTACTGGTAACCAGAATTAATTATTTGTGTAAGCCTGTTATATCTAATTTTGTTTTGTGTAAGTTTGAATTTATTCTACTAGTAATTTAGTTTAAACTTATTGTAATGCATTGTTTGTAATTCTTTATTTTGAGAAGTAGTAGTCACCTGTACTGATTTTTATTAATGTGCCTGGGTACTGATGCAAGTGTAGCCTGTTTAAATATGAATTTTCAAGGTTTTGTTTAATGTAATAGCAGTTTAAGTTCATATATATTGTTAGTAGTCTATTTTATTGTATTTAATACAATATATGTAGAATGTATTTCATAGAATATAATGTAACTAGTTTGTATTTGTAATTCTATGTTATATTTGCCTGTTATCACTGAAGCTTTTTATTTATGCCAACAATTTCTGTGCATTGCTCTTGATACTAAATTTTAATTAACATTAAATAATATTGTTACATTGGATTATATTAAGTTCAGTATTATATTATAAGGTAACTTGTAATGCCTTCTGTTTTGTGTTGTCAAGCAGAGGAGGATTGTCTCATTGGAACACCTGGCATTTGTCCAGTGCATTTGACATTTTCTTATAAATTGATTTTAATTGTTTTGCCAGTATGCTGCATGTGATATTGCCCAGGCTGGTCTTTTAATACCAATCTGTCCATGTTGTCAAGTTTTCAGTATTGCATTCTTAAATTTTAATGGCAATAGTATTCATTGTATAATTATTTTTTTTTTGACACATTCGTGTAATGTTGCAGTGTTTTAACAGATATTCTAAAGGGTTTTATTTATTCTGCGATTTCGGATGTTTGCGTTATTGTATTATTTAGTGTTTGTCCATGGTGAGCATTGTGCTCTCACAAAGTTACAGTTCTGTGAAGTACTCTCGTGATGCCCACGTATTGGGAATCCATTGAATCATGGCTGCCCTAGGACAGAGGCTTTCTGGGCAACTTTTTCGAAAACGAAATATGAGAATTACTGCGGTTTCGTAAAATATCTATTAGATTATAAATGTTATAATTACTGGAACTTTAAAAAATTAATTCCTCACTCTTCGATTACTCTTTTTGTTACTTTCTTCTATAGACATTTTATGTATACATTCAACATAATCTTGATAAAATCATTCACTGCAATTTTGCTCCATCAAGCGACAATCTAAATAAATATAATAACATTCCATTGTAGAAGCGTATATGTAATTATGTTGACTAAATATCATAATTTACATAAAAGATTTTATATTGGTTTAGAATGAAAGTTTCGTATAGCACTTAGAGACATCTCAGCAGCGAGTAAATATAACCTAAATTATCTTCCTTTTCTCGGATTTAATATTATTTCTTTTCTAGATCATCAAAAAGCTAAAACGAACGAAACCACTGGATAGAATTACTTGTAACAGTACAGTAAAATGAGTAGACACTTGTGTCGTGATATTTTCAATTTTATAAAATGCAAGAGCCTTTTACCCCGAACTGCCAAAGGCATCTAAAACATTTTAGTTTGTGTTTGCTAGAAGTTTTGTTTGCGGAAGTTGTTGCAAACTCTAACAATACTTACATGTCCTTCACTCTTCCAGTAAATAAAAAATCCACATTCGTCCACCTTAAAGAGAGCTTTTGGTTCATACTCAATCTGTTCTTTCTCCTAGAAAAATTAAACAAATAATAGCTGATAGTTTCATGATTAACAAGCAGGGTAGCAAAGTGAGAAAGATTATTGTTGTGTAAACCTGACGTTGCATAACTATTGTAGCTACTCACGTTACATCATATATGTTTTAGGAATAGACCGTATGTGAAATCTACACAGTACATAGTAAATATACACCATAATCAGTATTCAGATGTTTAGCACAGCTTTAATATATTTTTCGAGTCATATCTATGTTATATATATATATATATATGATTTTTTTTTCTCAGGGACTAATATAATTCTATTTTTATAAGATATAATCAGAAAACTACTTGTGTTCGCTACGAAGGTAGAACCTTGAATTTTAGCGTTATAAGCCATAAAGCTTATCGCTGAACCACAGGAGGACCTTTTTTCGCTTACTTTCTTATGCTAAAATTTAACTTTTAATACTAAATTGTTGGTGTGTTTTTTACCTTCAGAAAGATAACCTCTCAAAATATATGAACAATTGACAAAATGGTCCAATAATGGGTTACATGAAATAATCATTCTATTCCTAGAACCAAACATGGCTGAATGGTTAGCGAACTGAAATGTGAATTTGAGGGTTCATCGCTCTTGTCCAGTTGCCACAAAATCGTACTTTGAGGCTGTTAGCGCATTATAAAGGTGAAGGTCAAATTCCACTATTCTGTTTGAAGTAGTTCAAAACTAGCTGTGTTTCTTGTTGACTAGGTGTCTTCCTGTTAGTCTAACAGTTGAAAATTTGAGAAAGCTGGTTGAGATATCTTTTTTATAGCTTTATGCAAGTACCTGAAAGTATTGTTACGACAGCGGAAGTCACGTGACTCTGCTAGCGCATGCGTGACCGAGTTTCTCGAATTATCGGGAAAGATCGAGTGTGATCGAGACGGCTCTTTGTCGGTATATAAGCCTGGCAGAGAAAAGCCAGGGGATGGTTAAGCGAACAGTAGTCACAGTGAGTTTCCGGTAATTTACGATTCTGTTTCGAGCTAGTGTGTGTTTTGCACTCATAGAGAGTGAAATTAATGAGATTGTGAATCACTGTGATTTATAGCTTGTATTATAAAAGTTGTTTAGATTAAAGTGACGAGAAACGTACTGACTGTGGAATTACTGTGTACTAAATGTTTCTCGGAATGAATTTCTACCCGAAATTAACAAACAAGCAGATACCCAACAGTATCTTCCCTTTACTATATAAAAATTATAAAAATGTAAACAAA